ATTGCTATGTGTGACTAATCCATTAGCTAGGGGTAGGGGATAATTGCTCGGTTTCATTTTCGTTTATGTGATTGTCAATTGCTCAACTTGTACTAGTTGTATTGATTAAAAGTTGATGAATTCGTGCTCGATAAATGGATATAATCAAAGGGTGACACTTCGATCAAGCGGTTGTACACAATCGAATATTAATTTGTCGAGTTCAGGTTCATTTATCCTATATGATTAGTTGATTAAATTTCTACCAATTTATTTAGCGACTCTCGAAACCGATAGGGGAGAGGTTGTCGAACAAAGCTCGCACTAGGTAGACATGTTCGGAGACGTATTTGTAACACCCCGCTAGCTTACTAAAATCAGAGTGCGATTTTCGCAAATTCTTTTCTAAAGCTTACGTTTTATATTGCGAAACATATCTCGGGATGCTACATAAAAATATTTCTTTACTAAAAATCCGTTAACTGTAAACCCATTTATGAAAAATGGATTATCTATATAAAACAAGCGTGTGATACTGTATAAAACTAGACCCAAAAGCTCAGATCGTCGTCTGAAAATTTACACGCTAGTTTAGAAGTCTGAAAACGTCAGCGAAAGTAAAACGTGGCAAATATATACATGTCAACAGTCTGCAAAACTATATACATATTTACATGTACTGGACCGGCGACCACCAGCTCCACTCACTCCTCCGAACCGACCCTGTTTCCTGAAAAGAATCATAATAGTGGGAGCGTGAGTACTATAAACACTGTACTCCGCAGAAACTCATACTAAAGTAAACATCAATAATAATATCAATATCATGACTGCAGGTATATATAAGTAAACTGTAAACTCCAGACACAAGGTCTGTAACTGAACTGAACCTCCTCGGACACTATGTCCGTCCATGTGCACATTCCGATGGCCTATTAAGGCTACTGCGCCTCCACCGGAACTCGGGATGGCCTATTAAGGCTACTGCGCCTCCACCCAGAGTGGAATAACTCATATACATACCGTAGAACATGATAGAGCAATTATAACCAATGTAATACCCAGTCTGAGTCCCCACCTGTACTGATAATGTAAGTGCTGCTGCTGATCACTCTGTAAAAATTATATAAATAAACAAATACTAAGTACTACGTTCAGACTGACTGAAAATAATTGTTAAAATGCTCGACTCGGTCTAAACATTTAACTGGAATATTCTCGGGACTTAACTTGATTGACAAGAAAAACCGGACTGGACAGATACCGGTGTACTGGACTGACTGGACTGAAAAATTAACTGAAATACTGTACTGGACTCGAACCGGATCAGTAAATACTGAACAATTCAAAAACCGGTCTAAACCGGCCAGTTCATTTTCTGGCCG